GGTTTGGGGGCGCCCGGGGCTGAGGGAAGTGAGACCCGGGCAGGGCAGGGGGCCGAGTTCAGGCCGAGAGGAGACGGGCTCACTCAGGGCGAGGGGGCTTCTCACGCACCGCAGAGCGTGTCCTGTCAGAGTGCGGCCGCCACGCTTCTGACTGGAACTCGCTCGGCGCCTCAGAAGTCGCTGCGCGGGACAGGCTGGACGGAGCCAATCGGCACCGAGACCAGCAGTGTCTAGCCAATTGGAGCTCGGGACCCCGGTGGGGGCGTGGCAGAAGGCGGAGCAAGGGTGTCGTCACCGGCGCAACCCAAACTTGGCTGTGGTGAGTGAGGCCTGAAATTTCCCGCCCTGCCGGAGACCCCGCCCCTCCGCCGGGATTGGCTGCTAGGGCCCCGCGTGTGAGTCCACCAGGAAAGGGCGCAGGCTCGCGGGCATCTGAGGGCTTGGTCCTCGGGGTCAGGGGAGCTGACGGCTGACCAGGGCTGGCATTCCGGGCGAGCCTAGACGAGGGCTACGCTCGGCGATCGCGGAGGACGTGCCCGGCAGAGACGGGAAGGCCGGGACCTCTGAGCCAGGAGGACTCCAGAGCGCGGAGGCGGAGCTCAGGGCTACAGGGAGGGAAATAGACTCGAGGCTCCGCCCTGGGGGCGGAGTCTGCAGCACGGCAGAAGGGGCGGGACCAGCGGGAGATGCCGGCGTGTTGACTCTGGAGGGCGGGGTCAGCGGTTTGCACACGAGGGGCCGGGGCCTGGTTTGCCCAAGGGCACAGATATTCGAGAAGAGCCGCGCAATCTGTGGAAACACGACTGACACGATGCGGACCCGCATCGCCGGAAGCCGAAGCACTCAAGAGATGGCGACTTTTACATCCTGGCCGTGGCTGATGAATGAGAGCTGGGATTAAGTAAATGAAGAAAATAGGGGGTTGGGGATTTAGCTCAGTGGTGCCACCACCTACCTCGCAAGCGCAGGGACCTGAGTTCGCTTCCCAAAAATAAAATCAAAAGTACAATGTAAGCATTTTGTAATTTATTTTTAAAATGGTGGCTTTTGTGTGTGTGTGTGTGTGTGTG